GACTTAAAAATACAGGACCCAATTATTATAATATTTTTCTAAAAATCAATTTCAAAGCTATGTTGCTTTTCAACATATGCAATCTTCAAAATGACCAGTAGCTCTTTGCAACTAAGATTTTCTCTATTCACTGGTATAGCAGTTTTATAAAGTTATATAAAACGCAGTAAGTTTAGGATATAACCTGCTATTCGTCTGCCAATTTCTACCCTTCCTCTCCAGCCCTTGTTAAATTTTTAATTATAGGCATGATCTATGAATGAGCACTGTGTATCTACAACATGTAACCAATATTTAACATCTCTCCACTACGCTGCTTTTAAACTCATCAGTAAGGACAGAACTATGGGGACAGTAACTTTCGTATGTTGCAGGTAGACCAAATGTTCTTTTCTTCTTTTATTCCATTACCACCAGAACGAAGAAGTTTGAGACTAGCAGGAGACATATACCCAGAACCTAATTTCTTTTTAAGTGTGCACATGCTGGGTGCCAGGAAGAATTCCTGAAAAAATCGTAAGTGAAACTGAATAGCAGTATGGAACATACCATTATTTGCAATACTAGCCTCTATAAAAATCTACATCTACACAGAAAAGGGAAATACTGTCTTCTAATAAATATACTTTCAAGATTCCTTTCTTTCTGGGGAGCCTGACAAGGGGATTTCATGGCATCAGGTCTTATTCTTGATCATTAGCACAAAAAAGTCAAGACAGAGAAACCGATAGAAGCAGGCCATTTTCCTGACTTTCTTACTGCCTAGTAACTTCCCAATCACCCTGAAAACCAGTTGCAAAATACAGTGCGTCACAATGGTATGCAAACGCTAGATACAGGTTTATTTAGTTGCACTGCCATACGTTCCTGTATAGAACCAAAGTGCTGGCAGTTTCAGTAAAGGAATGGGCAATAAAAAAATTCTCATTTCACTACTACAGAACTCATCACATAGCTGCCATTAACTAACCAAAGCCCAGCTTCTCTCAGTACTGCCGGAGTGAAGAGGGGAAAATCTTTACTGACAGGCATCACTAAAACCATTGTTTTTCTCATAGCTTATAATGAGCCTGAGAGAAAGATCTCTGGGCTTGATCCCACCTCCACTAAAGTCAACTACAAGCTTTCAACAGACTTTGAGACAGCAACATGGTCCTCATTTTTGTCATTTGAGCAACGCAAAAAAATAGTAATTGTTAAGGTTGATAAGAAAAACCTCAAAATGGTATTTCAGAATCTAAATGCTAGTCTGAGCTCCCAAATGTCGGGTGAGGATACTTAAGAAACTTACTAAATATTTAAAAGAAGATGTCTGAGGAGCATTTTTGTTGTTTACTCAGAACCAGTGTCTACACAGCTTAAAATGCTGTAAGAGCCAGCTGTTCTCTGACTTAGAGTTTCACCTACTTTTGCTGGAAGAGAATTTGTTTAGATATTTAACGTTATGAACTGTTCATACTTGTTCCTTATATCTTAGTCCAAAATAACCTAAATTGGAGTCTCTTCCAAAATACAGCCATTTCTTTAGGAGAGATTTTAGGGAAGGATGAAAGCATGTCCCCATGTATGATTTGGAGACAAGTTTATCTACTGCTACTGTCTGCTGGCTGATGCCAGTTGTTACCTACATGGGAGTTAAAGGCTGCTGAGTAGTTTGCATATCAATATGAGTACTCCTAGGTTATCAATGTAAATTTAATTAAAGCCAGGGCAGTCAGACCTTTTGCAAAGGCATTCTTTTTATCCTAAAGAAACACCATACTGTTATGCAACATTCTTGTGCTGAGGTGGAAGTAGAAAGCTTTGGACTTTAAACTACACAGCTTCAAAACAAAAACAAGATAACCCTCACAAGAGGCATATTATTTTTAAAGAGCTACACCTGTTTCACTGTTTTGAGAATTTATATTAGTACTATATTTTAAGTACTGGGGGAGCCCACAGCTGTCTCCCAAAATTCCTAAGAGAGTTCCGTGTCAGCCACCAAACTCACACGATGAACAAGCCATTCCAATCTATACCCTTTGTTTTCACTGCCTTTTAATTTTCTGCCTACAGAATGAAAAGTTTCATACTGTACTTCAGCTTTAAAGGTGAATACTTAGGAAAGTTACAGAAGAAACCATAAAAGTTGTGTCTTCTTTTTTTAATTTAGGCAAGCATGAAGAAAAAGGCTTTTCTTCAGCATCTCAGAATAGGTTTCAAATGTCATACTCACTATAGCCTTCAATCACAGGGAGGGAAAGTATTCCTTTCACATACTGGACAAAATTAAGCAATCTATTTAAATCTTACCAACAAGTAAGAAAAAGTTACTTAATTGAAAGTAATGTTTTATGCACAGTCAGTTTGTCAACACCTGGTCAACTTCTCATATGGCATCAGATATCAACTTCCAAATCTATAAGCTACTGTCTAGTATTATTGCTCAAAGGGTGGATTCCATCTGCCCCGTCTGGGCATTTGTAAAGAATGCAGCTTTTGATTAAGTGCTGTATTATTTGTTGGACACCGCATTCATATAGAGGGCTGTCCAAGAAGTTCATCTTGTCAAGCGGTTTTGGGTTGTTTTTTTTTGAAGCATCTGAATCCAGACCTCAATCTGTTCAGCTTGGCCCACATTTCTCCATCAACATTCTGCCCAATGGGGGACTCATTGGGTACTGGTATAAAATGCTGTAAGAATCTGTCTGATCTTTCCCACTGGTCAGGAAATTTTGATAGCTCGATACCTGGTCAACCTAATAAAATAGGATCTTTTTTCTCCCTTTTTTGAGAGGGCTTGAGAATGTGTTTATCAAAGTTTGAACAGAAATATATTTTGTCATTAATTTGGATAGCTCCAGAAATACACAACGATGGACAAAGTAAAATGAAGAATATGCAAAGCTGAAAGTCAACCTTAGGGGAAAAAACATTATTCAGCTATTTATCTGGACACAAGTAAAACATTACTACTGTATCATCACAGGCATGCTGTGAGCTGGACAAATATAAAAGTTACATAATACTCTGCAAGGCTGTTTTAACAACAGAACTGACTTGATAGGTAATATACTGTATGGATGACCTTGTTTCTCCAACACAAGCACAAGTATATGCACTACATTAAGGCTACTCTTTCCACTTTCCAACACTAAAAGAACCCAAATAGACATACATGCAACAAATCTTAAACCAAATACGGTTTATGAAAGACAACCTGAACATACACAGGTCTAATTTTATATTGACAACAAACGCAGAAGTATTTTGCTAGTTTGCTAATGCCTGGATAGTACAATGGAAATTAGGTGAACTAATCCAAAAAAAAAGTATTTTGTTCACCTAAGTGGCAATCAAATAAGTAAGAATATTTTAGGAAATATTTTGCTTTTTATGTAAAATTATTAAGTTCGAGAACAGAATATGCCAGTACAGTACATCTTTACTGAGAAGTGAGGAGAAACTAAACTTTTTTGTGAGTCACCTACAGAGTAACCAGATTAATAAAATTAAAATTAGCAAAGTTCTAATGGGGAATCAATCATTCACTGAGCTAGATAACATCAATAATCCATTGAGTCACTACAAAATAAAAGGCTCTCTTAATTTAAGGGGACTATACTTCCTTTATCTGTATGAATACACATCAATTCTGTCAGCATAAAAAGTGTGCATTTATGGTCACCTGGGAAACTGGCTAATTAATTTAGACTTGACAAATTACTGGTGCAGTAGTCAGTGTTACAATCACTTGGGAAAGGACCAAGTCTGGATGCTGTGCTCAGAGTTGAAAGGCAAAGGATCCCCTCACCCCATGTAATTAAAATGATGTAGCACCACAAATAGAGGTGCACCGATACATTGGTCCAACATTGAATCGGCACTGATTTAAAGAAAAAAGTCTGTATGGCAAATCAGCTTGATATGGCCAATAATTTGGCTGATATATGGCCTGTGCATAAGCACAACTGCAGCGCAGCACGTAGGCAGTGAGGAGCACAGCCTAGCAGCTTGGAGAGTGGCATGCAGCTGGTAAGTCTGGTGTGGTAGAAGGGAAGGGGAAAGGCAGATCAAGGGCCCTACGGTGAAGGAGGAGTGGGGCTGGGGCAAGCGCTGCCCAACCAGGGCGGGGCAGGATGGAGCTGTGGCTCTTCTGGGGGATGCGTCTCCCACTGCTGCGTGCTGCTTGTGTGGGAGCCACTGGTCTAGCGGCTCGTCCAGCAGCTCCTGCTGCTACTTGTCCGTGAGGGCATGGAGGGGGTGGGGCATGTGCCCTCAGATCTGTGCAGGGCAGGCTGGGGCCTGGGCTGCACCAAGCTCTTCCCAGTGGGGCAGGTCTGTGCATAGGACAGGCAGCAGTGGTGCTGGGAGGTGGGGGCATGCTATGGCAAATTCTGAGGTGGCTGTAGCCCCCCCCTGTAGTCTCCTCCCAGTGCCGCAGCCACCTGCCCCCGAGCGCAGCCCCACCCCACCAGAAAAAGCCCATTCCACCCTGCCCCACACAGATCCAGGGGCACACTCCCCTCCACCTCCCATGCCCTCCCAGACAAGCAGCAGGAGCCGCTGGATGAGCGGGCAAGCACCATATGAGCCACCGGACCAACAGCTCCCACACGAGTGACATGCAGTGGCAGGAGCTGCCCTCCCCTTCCCCATCCTGTGCCTGTTCCACCCCAGCTGGGCAGTGCTTGCCCCAGCCCCAGCCCCACTCCTTCCTCACTGCAGGGGGCTTGATCTGCCCTCCCCACCATGCCCCTTCCCTCCCACCAGACTTACCAGCTGCACGCAGCTCTTCAAGCAGCTGGGCAGGTACTGGAAATCAGACTGGTATAAGATGATATGCCCCAAAATTCTGCATCAGTTCCCCCTTAATAAATATCCAGCATATGTAAAGGACATATTGTATATAGAACCACAAGGTGCATTGCAGAAATATAACCATTAAATCCACCCATGCTATCCATGACTTGTTCACTCCTAACTATCCTCTGCCTAGATCTGTTACTTACTGTCAACAATTCCCATTTTACCTAAGGCCTTTTTGACATGAGAAAATTTTAGCTGGTACTTAAATCTATTTAGTTAGGTCAATACAAACTTCCTATGTGGGCACACTTTAGTTTAAACAATAAAAATGCCTAGCTTTTACACAGCACTTAGTTTAGTCTGAGTCAGCTAGCAGCCAACTTAAGAAAAACTTGTTTATTATACACCAATGTAATTTTCTCAGGTAGAAGAGATCCATGTGTACCAAGGACTTGCTTTGGATTGCCCCTATTTTGTGTCAGTGTCTCGAACTGCTGACATGAATTTTACTATTGGCTTAACACAGCTTTTTCAAGCACTGTTTTAATAGTAACCCAAGATCCACTCTTGTAGGTTGCTCCAATGCAGAGGGATGCAAATGGGATGCCATTACAATTAAATAGCAGTCCTTCCAGATGGAACAACATGCAAAGGCATGGCCTAAAGGACCAATATATTGTAAGAGCACCATTTTTTTAAACTGTTATTTTACAAGTCTCCAAACTTCTCAACTGAAATTATATATAAAGTGTTAGTGCAGAATCATAAACCCTCACAACACAGTTACTCTAGAAGGAGAAAACAAGACAACATGGGTGACCATGAGACAAATCATTTGATTGCAAACTTGAAGATTCATAGAATCATACAAAGTTAGGGTTGGAAAGGACCTCAGGGGAGATCATCTAGTCCAACTCCCTCCTCAAAATAGGAGCACCCCAACTAAATCATCCCAGCCAAAGCTTCATCTAGCTGGGCTTTGAAAACCTCAAAGGATGGTGCTTCCACCACCTCTCTGGATAACCAGTTCCAGTGTGTTACTACCCCCCTCATTCAAGTAAGATGGTACAGTTATCAACAGACCAAAGTGTAAGGGTAGATGCTTTCTAGGCAACACATACAGAGTAAGCTAGGAATCATCAAGCTAAATATAAAAGTTCTTCTCAGTTAATGTCACTCTACAACTTTAAATCCATGCTAAACACAATTTTTTGCATGACCTTACCTATCTAAGTCATCTTCCCCAACTAAAATGGGAGGGAGCGGGAGTGGAGGCAACGTTGAAGTCTTCAGGTGTGGGATAGCAGCTGTTACAGACACTTGTGTTTTCATGGAGACCTGGACAGAGGGCTGAGAGTTGGCCTGAGTGGATAAAGCAGATGTCCGTGGGTGGGACAAAGATGGCAGAGAGGCTGGGACTGATGTAGGGACCTGAACAGGAGTCACCTGTGAGGGTGGCATAGGTGGAACAGCAGGTGATGGAGGCAAAGGGGGCAATGGTGGAGTCTGAGGTGGCGGGGTGGTTGTCGGTAGAGGAGGAGGTTGAGGCGATTTGATCAAGGGCAGCAAGGACGGGTTTTCCTTTTCTGTTGGCTCAGTCTCTTTTGGAGTCACGATCTCCTCTTTCACTACTACTGGCTTCAAATCTTTTTTCCCCATTGTTTTTGAATCTTTAACTGGAGGGGGATGCTTCCTCTCAGAGTTCTCTTCTGCCTTGATTTTTGTCTCTACTGATGTTTTAGTCTCTGCATTCACATGTATCAAGTTAACCAGTTCTGTATCTGAGGATGACTTCTCCGATTTAATTATTTTGGTTACCTTTTTTGGCTCCGTCCCCAACTCCTTTACCTCAGATGAGCTGTTTTCTTTTCTAGACGTGAAGACAGGTGAATCCTTTGCCTCCTTCCCATCTACCTTTGCTGCTGCTGCTGCTGCAGCAGCTCGCTCCTTTTTCTTCCTGCTGAGCTCTGCACCAAGACTAGAGTTCAACGGTAGTCTAGCAGGCGATATGCTGGAATGGCGACTGCGTGAACCAGATCTCTGCTTTTTACTGTGAGATGACGCGTGCCTTGAATATGCAGGACTTCGACTTCGGGACTTCACAGACTTCCTGCAGAGAAAGCAGAACAAATTAAATGCAGCACAGTCCATACTTGGTTCATTACTGAAATTAACCAAAAATCAACAGTTCTCTTTAGACACAAAAGCATTCACAGCTTCTTGACTAAACTTTTTAATAGGGCCCAAAGCCTTTCCAGGCAAATTTAACAGCACCAGTTTGATTGAGACTTTAAACATCTAATATTTGTCAACATCTAGGAAGCTTGCAAGGTCAAGGATCCTGCTGCTTATATATTAAACAATGCAAACAGATATGCAAGATGACGACTAGAAAACCCTAAATTAAAGAAGAGATCACAGGTGCTCAGCACTTTAATGAGGACTTAAAATGAGAGGATGAACTGATACTTTAGAAATCTTTCACAGCAGTTCTATACAGCAATAGAGAAGTACAATAAGATTTGACTGGTGCTTGTGAAGTGTTTTATACAACCTTGTTGGGTTGATCAGACGTACTACAACGCAACATTCTCCTTGGTAGGCCAATTCCTCCCCATCCTCATTACTCACTGAGGTTTCACAATTACCAGAATTGCAACCTGCATGTTGAGAGTCAAGAAAACCAACCACAGACCTTAGCCATGTTCAGAGATTCTCTAAATCTAAGTTCATAATAAGTGGATTTCAGTTTATTATATGTGGAAAGATACAAAAACAAATCAGAAAAGCTAAATTGTAATACAAGTCAGAAGCAAGGTAGAAAATGACTTCATAGGAAGTAAATGGGAGGGGAACTTGGAGTGGACATAAGTCTGCAATTTGTCTGAGCTAACTAGAGAACAGGGATAGAGACTGATTTTGAAAGACCAAAGAGAAGCCAGAAATAGGCATTTCCAATTTGCAGATAAAAAAGTTTTTGGCATATAAATGTTTCCTTCTCTTCAAGAAAAACTATGATCCTGGAAACCATGAGTGTGTGCATTATGAAATGAAATATACATATATGGTGGATTTAATGGATCCTAAAAAGTCACGTTACTGAGAGCGCAAAACCACTTTAAAAGCAGGCCCTATACAAAGTGTAGCTAAACCCACACTCAAACCTGATTTTTAACCTGCAATTTATTCCAGCTCAATTCCCTAATCAAAGAAAAGAGTGCATTATTTTAGGACATGGTCAAGAAACACCCTTTCCATGCTGCACAGAGAACACACATGTTCGCAACTATATCTAAAACTGGTTGTGAAATATTTTTAACCCTGAGTTGCAGTACAAGACTAGTATGCCTACAAAGGAGAAAGTTTTTTTTTCCCCTTGTTTTTTTTGTTTTTTAAATAGAATCTTATAAAGATGTAACTACTTCAAAAAACAAACTGGAGGAAGAAAACAACCTCTTGTAAAGTTTTCCACTAAACACCACAACGCTTATGAATCCAGTGGGCAAAAGACACTGGGACTGGAAGTGGACCCTATCTTTAGGGCTTATTAATAATCATATTAATGTAAAAGAAGTTAAGAATGATTTCAGCCTGTCTTCAGTATTTATGCTAATTTTGTTTAGAATCAAGCTGGCATTATGCCTCAAGCTTGTATGTCCTCTTCAGGGGACTCTGGGTAATAAGTTTTACTGTCTCAACTATATGTACAGATTTCACCATTTGAATAGGGCTTCACCTTCTGTATCTCACTGCAAAGCCATAGTTGAAAAAGCCAATATCATGTTTTCATTGAACCTATAGATGACACTTGTGGAATTTTCCTAACTGAACTTTTAAGAAGATGTGGGATAACTTAACTCTAAAAATGGAACCAAATGCAGCTGCAACCAATTCATACCATCAATGAAAAAATTGCTCTTAACATACAATATTAGCTTCTGTCACTGCTAACTGCCTCAAAAAGATGGCCTGAGAAGTAAATGCACACAGAAAATTTGTGAGGCCTTCCCCATTCTGGAATGTTCACTGAATATCTTTACCTCTGGTTGACAGGGTATTGAGTTTTATCCGTGCACAGCATCCCTGAAGTCAAACACCGTACTAGAGATGGCCAACTTTACAGTACTTAAAAAAGAGAGAATGGACAATCTTACAAACTTTCAAGGTTCTTTCTAATATATTTGTAATGCAGGAAGCTGGAAATATAAAATGCTAGCTGTCAAGCCAGAGAATTTAGACAGAGGAGTCAGTGGAGATGGCTCACTGAAGAAATCCAAAGGACCACAACAGCAGATTAATTTATCTGCTGCAAAGTTGTGCTAACTCAGAAACCTCTGGAGAAAGGAAAATTAGAAATCTCGTGTCTTATTTGTTCCAGGAAACTGGCTATTGTTAACAGTTATTAGCAACAGGGCTCTCAGAATCAATGCTGAATACACAACGAAACACAAAAAACCTGTAGCTCCTCACTTTCATAATTGCTTTGGGGATTTCAGAAGACAGACATTTCATAGGTGAGATTGTGAGGCATTGCTGCCACATTTGGAAGCTGGAAAGTGAGAAGTACACTAGTGAAATGACTTGCCTATGTCACTCAGGATGGTAGTGGCAAAGGTAGAACTAGGCCCTGTGAGTCTGGATTCCTAGTCTCTGTTCTAATCATAAGGAAAATTATTCAAATAAGAAACAGTGACCCTCTCATCACAGTTTGTGGCCTTTTGGCAACTCTAAACTGTGGCAGCATGCTGCACTCTGGGGCCTCCCAATGATTACACGCAATTCAGTGTCTCACTTTAATGTTTAGTAGTGTGCAGTCCACCTCAAATGACAGTTACTAAAATTCTTTCTTCCAGCTCTAGCTGCAAGGGTATAGTTCCTTAGGTTCTACAAAGAACACAGGGTCACTGTATTTGCTACTTTCCCCTCCTGATGAAAGAAGCTACATTCCCTCTTAAACTGAAATTAGTTTGAAGGGTCACAGGAAATATTAACAGCAGTATGTTTTCCTCATTAACAAGGCACATTTCTTTAGTTTGTTGGCTTCCATTTTGTGCTGCAATTTGGGGATCGGGGTGAAGGGAGACTTGGAATGTAGGAAGAAGTAGTTTTTTGCCAGTGAAAAAAAGCTAAAAGTCCACAAGAAAGACTCAGGGCTCCTCAGAGGAGGAACTTATCCTGAACTATCTTCACTGCAGGGAATGCAAGTTTGGGGAAGCAATAACTAACATTTAACAGGTTCAGTTTTCAATGTCTAACATAAGAAAAAAAATATATAACTGCTAATTTTCCTTTGCTTTTAAGCATATAAAATTTCAGGTGGTTATTTTTAAAGGCTTCTTACATGCTTAGCTAGTATCGTATTTCTCTTTTTGTGATGTTCAGAGCAACCAATACCTGTTAAAAACAGTATACCATATTAACAGCTACTTGTTAGATTTAGAGAAGGTGAGGGGCTGTGGTAGGTTATCCATTTGACACACAGATTCAAAGAATTCAAAGAAATGGAGTGTAAACAAACTGTAACCTTTGGAATCTTCTTTGGTCTGTCTAGCTAGCCAACTGCTGTACCCCAAAGGTGCCCTTGAAACTTTCCCACATGACAGTGCAAATTCATGGAAGCACACTGAAAGTTATTTCTGCAGGCAAGTTAGAAAAAAAATGAACCTGATTTCTCAAGTCAGGAGTGACTAGCATATATACAAGCAGTTGTGGGTTTGGGGGAAGAAGATGGTGGAAGGGCAGGGGCGAACAAGGCTTTTGTGGGGAAAGACCAACCTTTAAGAATTTCACTAAATTGCTCTACTACCCTCTAATCTAGTAATACTCCTCCTATTGGTCAAGCAAGGGTAGATACGGACACTTGTAGAGCCTACAAACACCACAGCAACCAGCTAGAAAGGATTCCAAGCACAGTGGAAGAGGTGTGCGTTTCTTTCAGAAATGTAAGTACAAAAATCTGTCTGTACAGTGTCCTTGCTGCAACAGAAGGGGTTTTCTGGGGGTTGTTTTTTAGTTTGTTGTAAAAAAACACCAAAAAACCCAAAAACCATCTCCACTAAGATTTTACACCAAGATAGCTAACGCACAGGAAGCTTTTTTTCTCAGTGTAGCTCACTGAAGTCAATTGTGTTTCTATGCTTTCACCCAGCATTCACTTTGTCCAGCTACACAGAGGAAAAGGTTAAATATGCTGTTCCCATTACGCTTTTTCATGAAAGCAGCCTTGACATGTTACAACACACTGCTCTTTTGATATGAAGACAGAAAGCAATGCTCTTACCTTCTGACTTTGCTCTCAAAATTGGGGATTAACCTCTCCAGAGAAATGTATGTGATGTTAGAAACTACTCACATGAATAATTACTAGACACATAAGATGGGCATGGTCAGTCCCTATCAGTCAGATAGGGGCTGGAAGCAAGGAGGCAAACACTATGCATAATGTTTTAAAAGTTTACCAAGAGGACTTGTTACATTCAAGTTTAAATCTTAATTACCATGGAGCTATAACCAAAGCTCCACAAGGTGCTGACACCTGGAAGTTTGCTCGTGAATGACCTTTAAGCTAGGAAAAGAATGTGTGTTAGACTGTGCATAAATTTGTACTTGTGGTTTTTATAAATGCTCATCTGAAATAAAGTGCAACATTACTAGCAAACATTACTACACAAAATGATCAAGTAAAACCATTTTACAATGTCAAAGTTACCCATCAAATTGTATAACTATATATACAGCCATTTGAAAATGAGAATGTTACCCAAGTTCCCTTCTAGAAAGTCCTGATGAGCTATTTAAAAACAAGGAAGCAAGGGATCCAAGAACTGAACAGAACCTAAAAAAATGCTATTTAAATAATGGCCAGCTATGAAAAATAGTTGAGAGAGAGAGAGAAAGGAAGAAATATTTAGATTAATACAACCCTTCTGGAAACATCTGTTTCCCCGGTGCACGAATTCTGATCAAGGTTTCCAGAATTAGAGAGGCTTATTTGTTGTTTAAGTAAATATAGTACTAGTGAGAGAGGTTGGATTTTTACCACTATGAATTGAAATCCTTCATTCTTCCACGTAACTCTAAGCAATGCAAGCTTCCCCACAAAGCCTTGTTCCTGTCCTACAGAGGCAACCTCTAGAGGTGAATGTAATTCAATCCTAATAGCTCATTCACAGTCCTTGGTCTCTCTGCTAAGATTGCCAACATGGAGGATGATGAGTGCCAATTATGGTGGTAGGTGTTGTATGAACACCCACCAAATTCAAACCTCAAACTGACTCACCCCTCAAACCTATGCCTCTGAATAAGCACCCAGTGTAACAATAACTGGATACTAAATGACTTGAACCAGGTTTGGATAGAGGATCTAGACCAGGGGTGTCCAACTTGCAGCACATATGCCACAAGTCCTACACAGGCGGTCTCTGCTGTGTGGCACAAGAAAGATTACAGAAGCAGAGAAAAGCAGAGCAGCAATTCTGGCAGGGAGCAGAAGGCAGAACATCAGATCAGGCAGGGGAAAGGGATCAGAGTGGCCGCTGTGGCACGCCTGCCAAAATGGTTGGCTCTCACTGACTGAAAGGGTGAATGGCATGGCACCAGAGCCATCTTGTCCAAATCCCTTTTCTTTCCTACCCCACCAACCCCCTTGAAGACAAAGCAGAGGTTACGCACCTGGGTACTGGACTTCGACTCACTGACCGCTTCACAACAAAAGGGCTGCTTGAGCGTCGTCGGGCATATGGGCTGGGTGACCTCCCACTGTATGACCCGCTTCCCCTCTCGTAACTCGAAGAGCGCCTTCTGTTGTATGGGCTGACAGACCTCTGCCTCCGGCTGTAAGGGCTTGGAGACCGAGTGTTAGACTGGTAGGCTGCAGGTTCCTTGTAGGGCGGGCTGAGTGACTGCCTCCTTGATGAGCCACCAGGGCTCTTCTTGTAAGAGTCATAGTTGCTAGACGTGTGCGAGCGTGGGGGGCTGAAGTCATACTCCTGGATGTAGGATGCTCCCGAGGGGCTGTCATCCAGTTTAGGGCTGTCAGACCATTTCCTATGGGGGCTCCTGGATTTCCGCTTTGGACTGTCAGCAGATTTGTAGCTCTTTGGAGCCTCCCTTTTCCGATGGCTTTTACTTCGGTCTTTGTGGCCAGACTTGAGCTCCCGCTCCTTCCGGGACTTCTCCTTGTGCGCTTTGGCTGAGCGGGACTCTTTGCCACTGCTCTTTGAGGACTGTGACTTAGGATGCTCCTCATTCTCCTCATTCAGTCTCTTGGAGGTCCCGGCCACCCTGTCCTTGATGGACCCCAACCTGCCGGATACCTCCTGGTTCTTTTCCAGTTTCTTTTCCTTTTCTGCCTGCTTGCTCTTCATCAGCTCACGAATACGTTTGTGCTGGTGATGCCGGTGCTTGTGCAGCCTGTCGCTCCTGTCCGAACCCCCTTTCTTCTCATCGTTCTCCCTCCTTTCCAGTTTGAGGGCCACATCATCCGAGAAGGTGTCTGAGTCTGAGCTGATGTCGTCGTACTCCACCAGTGGCTTGATCATTGCACCGAGTGGCGCCGTCGTCTCTTGGGCCGCCAGCGGCGAGTCTTTGGAGTGCCTGGACTTGTGCCTCTTGTGCTTGGTGGCCAGCCGGTGCCTTTCCCTGCTGTTTGAGCTGCCGCTGCTGGCTGCATGCTGTGAGGACCCCCCTCCACCCCCATCCTTCTTGCCCCCATGTCTCTCTGGGTTGGGCATTCCTCCTCCACTGTGCTCCAAAGAGGGGAGGGGGGAATCCTCCGAAGCCCCAAAACCAGTCACCCCCCGGGGCAAGGCTGCTCTCCCCTGCCCGTGCCCCTCCCCCCTCCACCCAACATTCACAGTGGCTGCCCCCTCACGCCCTGCCTGCCCCTGGCCCCGCGCCTCGCCCTGCTACATGAGGGGCGCTCTGGGGACCGGGTCCCGGGCTGGACGCGAGCTCCGGCCCCGCAACACGAGGCTGGAGGCTGCCCCGGGCCCGCGTCCCCACCCCGGGCCGAGGCCGCCCTGGGCTCGGC